GCCTTCCCATTACGAGGTGATATTTGACTCCTTAAAGTGATTTACAGTAGAATTTTGTTTTTACCTTTATAATGGCATTTTTCTATCTTTATTATTAAAAGTATGTAATCTTTTATGTCAAATTACAAAAAAAACTATTTATAAGCTTTTTAAAAATTCTAGATAAAACCATATAATAAAAACAAGTAGAATAAGTTACTAATCAAATGAAATCAGTATTAAAATTAATTTGTACATCTTGTTTGTTTTCTAGCTGTGCCGTCGGCTCCTCAAAACGTCATCTCCAGTGTGAACGAGACGTCGCTAATGCTGGAGTGGAATCCTCCGCGGGAGACTGGCGGTCGCGATGACGTGGTCTACAACATCATCTGCAAGAGCTGCGGAGGAGGCAGAGGGGGCTGCACGCGTTGTGGGGACAACGTGCAGTTCGTTCCACGGCAGCTGGGTCTCACAGAGACCCGGGTCTTCATAAGTGACCTGCTGGCCCACACCCAGTACACTTTTGAAGTCCAGGCTGTCAACGGAGTATCAGACCAGAGCCCTTATTCACCTCAATATGCATCAGTCAACATCACTACTAACCAAGCTGGTAAGTCCACACCTTCAGTGTTTTATTTATTTTAGATCCTGATTACACTCTTTGGCTCGCATACTACCATGTCACCATGAGATTAGACATTTCCAAATTTCCAAAAACTCAACGTGATGCACGTTGAATCGGATCCAAACAATTGTGGGACAGATTATCCGGAACCTAGGATCTCTCCAGCCAATGGTGACATTTAATGAAAAACAGCTTCTTGCTACTGATTAGACAAACCTTTTTTCCCCCTCCTGAAGCAGTGGCCATGGCTGGGAGTCATCGTACAATCAGACGCTGCCATTGCAAAGGCAGCAGAAGTCTGCTTTTTTCCACTCATGCCATTGTGGTTTAGATTACTGTGTTCCAATTATTTCAGAGGGGCTGCATCATTGATTTGTATTTTAAGTGTCTGTATGAAATGTGCGGTTGATCGTGCCAGATCAGAACTGGGAGCTCTTATGGGCTCAAACAGAGACAGCTATTATTTTATGTTCCTCATCCCTGCTGGCTACAGACAGATCATCAAACCCATCCCTGCTTTAGCCTAGTAAAGCTCCTTTTTCTAGCATTTGACAGTATTTTAATTGGTTGTGACACATCGCTAACTTCAAAATTCAACAGTTTTCCAACATTTGCATCACTCAGGGGAGGTTTTAGCCAGTCTGTTGTGCAAAAAGCATGCTGGAAGAGATGTGTTTACAACTGACTAGACTCTTGACCCGAAGCATGAGTAAGCATGAGGATTGAGTAGATGTACATATGTTGTGTTCTCATCATCACATGTATCTTGTATAATCAACTAGTGCACATGCACACATGACCTCCTAACTAAGTTCACTCGCATTCATTCAGTCAGCTGCAGAAATACAATTAACACAGAAATGTGAGCGTAGAGACAGTGTGCTAAATACTGTCACTGAAACTCGAGTTAGAAAACATACATGTGCGCAGCAGGTCTTAGAGGTGAAGGGTGGATTCAGACGCGCTCTCATAAACTGACAGGGGGATCCTGTTAAGACTTCAACTTTTTACATTCAGTCTCTCAACAGTTACAGTAAGTGCACTTGAGACATTTAGGGGACTTGTGAATGTATGTGAAACTGCCATGAGAGCTGAATGATGAGGCTTTCAATGTTTCTTTGAACAAGAAATTACTGATCGGCTGAAAACAGAAGGATTGTTTGATTCGCTTCAACTGAGTCAGCTGAACGGCATCTTTGAAACGAAAGCCAACTTTTTTCCCCCAAGCTTTATGGGTCCACATATTCTTCTTGAAGAGCCGCCTAGAATTTGTGCCATTTTACCCAAACCTTACATTTATGTTACATTATTGCTCATGAAAGCACACTGGGGCTGCAATTAAAACGTAAAAGTCTTTTTTAAATATTTCAGTATTTGTAATTTCATTTTTCATTTAATTCAACCCCATTATTTTCAAAAAGGGGTAATATTGTATTAGATAATATTGTATTTATTGTATTTATTTGTGTTTTATTTTTTTCCCCCAGAGGTACACTTATAATTTTTTCAATGTCAAAACTGTTTTTTTTTTCTCTTCTTATTGCTGTGATTTTAATTTTCTCATTGCTTGCAAAATGAGTAACAGCCCTGGGCTGCGTTTCCCAAAAGCTTCGTAAGCCTAAGAAGACAGATTTATGCGGTCACCTGCAGGACAATCGGCAGATTACACCTTTAAATTTATTCAAGTGCAATGTGATTATAATATAAAGTTTTGATTGTACTTTACTGTACACTTTATTACTCGTTTTAATGAATTTATAAATGAAATAATTAAAAATGGCAGAAAAAATAGAAATACACATCTAAATTAAATGACTGAACAAAAAATGAATAAAAGAAGTAATGTAGGAAATTGTATTATTATTATGTAAAGTATATTATACGTATAAATATAATATAATGTAATATAATATAATATAATAGTTATTATGTCCGAGTTGTCTGAAACGCAGCATTAGGTTAACATTTCAATAAACGAGCGTGTACTACAATTACTAGCCATTCTATAAGGTGACATTTCAGCACTTGACAAACGGATAGCGACTCCTAAGTAGCACTTAAAGCACGCTACGTGCGATTGCATTAAGTGCATTTTTGGGAAACGCACGTGAAACAATAACGAACGATAGTAAAAGGACTCGTAGAAAACGCTCTTAAGCTCTAAGATCAATCGATATCGAGAAAAGCAGCCCTGGGTGTTGTACTTTGGTGCTTACATACTGGGCGGACTAGATTTCTGATCTCCTGTTAGTCATTAATGTCTAAATATGGGTGGTCATGTTATGTGATTTTAGCATTGTGTTGTCAATATGGTAAATGCTGTGTTTGTACTGACGAGTTAAGTTTTTAGTTGTGAAAATTACAATATATTTTCATGGAACATCTGGCCATTTAATCTCAGAAGATAAATGTGATTTCTTATTAAATGTCCATTTGGGGGCCATATTTTCACCTTTTTTAGTCAATTTATAGGTTTCTTTCATCAAAAACAGTTGGTTAGCATGATAATTCTCCCCTTTCTCTCTGATCTTAAAATTAAACGTAGATTTTGCTAGTCTAAGTGAGGATAACATAGTTAGTTATTGATCTTCTGCATGAAACTGTGATGTAAACTGAAATCACAGCTATAGACAGAAGTATATGTAAGAATCAATAGAAAATTTAAATATATACAGTACAAATATGTAGTTAGAGAAACAAGTAAAATATTTTATACAGTGTGCAGAAAGATAGGTTTAATTTTTAAATGATTGTGATGATGATCATGACTTGTTGTTGTTGTCGTTTGCTAACCTCCACATATAAGTGGTACAACAAGGTGGGCCATGTTGCTGAATGTTTGGGTTTATATATGAATGTGAACTTTTATGCATTAATGTGAATGTAAAATGTTAGCTATAAGTTAATTAAATTGTTTGTAAATATCCAGAATTAATCAAAAATAGTTAAGCTGTCCCATGATAATGTTTCAGTGAATGGACTGACTTGAGCAGTGTTGGGGGTAATATATTACAAGTAACGCAAGTTACGTAATCAGATTACTTTTTTCAAGTAACTAGTAAAGTAACGCATTACTTTTTAATTTACAAGAGAATATCTGAGTTACTTTTTCAAATAAGTAACGCAAGTTACTTTTTTTTTTCAATTTATAAAAAGTAACTAAGTAACGTAATTAGTTACTTTTTTTATGGAGTAATGCAATATTGTAATGCATTACTTTTAAAAGTAACTTTCCCCAACACTGGACTTTAGCACTTTATTTTAAATTTTACAGTAGATCTGCTTAGTACACTTAATTATTTTATTTCAAAAGAGCAAGCAAAATCCAATTTTCCACAATATGGCTCCTTTAATACCTTTTACATAATGAATTACTATTGCTTTTATATAATTTTTATAGAAAGATTGTTCTCCATATGTTTTCACTCGGCTGTTCCCTGCTCTAACCCGTGCTTTCTTCGTTCTGGGGTCCCTCCCTGCTGTTGGGACGTTCTTCCCCCACTCCGCCTGTCACTTTGGATTAGCAGCCCCGGACCTCCATCAGGGGGAGCTGTGAAAGTACTCACTCCAGCTCCCTGTTAGCGCGGACCGGGCCCCCTGGGACAGGGCACTAGGACTGAGGGGCCTGGGTCAGGCTGTCCGGGCCTTTAATTTCATCTGGATTGGAGGGCTTTGGGGTTACATAAACATCTTGTTACCCCTCATTAGCAAAGGTGGCTTCGAGCTTCCCCCTTCTCGTTTTGTGCTCGCAGTAGTTTGTTTTGTCCGTGTCCATGTGCAAGCATTAATTAGGCACGTTTTTAAGCCTGGCTGCTGAACAGGAAAGGTATGTTCTGCAAGAGAAACAAACAAATAAGAAAATTAGAAGTGATTGCCGTTAAAAGTATTTGTTTTCTTATGTGAGTGGCCCCCTTTTATATCTTAGGCTCGATGATGAGATTTGCGGTAGACAGATCAATTGAAATTCCTATTTTCTGATTCTCTCTCTGTGCTCGGGCATTGTTTTCAGGATGTTTCTCCACAGCTGCTGCTATCCTCCTCTCCCAGGCCTTTTCACACTGTCCATAATGATCTCACACACAATACAGTTGAAGCTCGACTCAAATGGCCAAAAGGACAGCAGACAAAGGGAGCAAAACTCTGAATGTTTGTATGCTGTATGGTCTTTAGAGCGCGAGTTATACTTATGTGTGATACATCATGGGCTTAAAGGGGTCATATGATGCGATTTCAAATTTTCCTTTCTCTTTGGAGTGTTACAAGCTGATTGTGCATAGATAAGATCCCTGAAGTTGCAAAGACTAAAGTCTCAAAACCAAAGAGATATACTTTATCAAAGTTAAGACTCTGCCACGCCCCCCTAAAACGGCTCGTTCTAACACGCCCCCACATATCTACAGCGAGAGAGAGAGAGAGCGAGAGAGAGAGAGAGAGCGTGCGAGAGAGAGAGAGAGAGAGAGCGTGCGAGAGAGCGAGAGAGAGAGAGCGTGCGAGAGAGCGAGAGAGAGCGCGAGAGAGAGAGAGAGAGAGAGAGAGAGAGTGAGAGAGAGAAAGAAAGAGAGAGCGCGAGAGAGAGAGCGAGAGAGAGAGAGAGAGAGAGAGAGAGAGCGAGAGAGAGCGCGAGAGAGAGCGCGAGAGAGATTTGAAAAATAATGTGGTTTTTGAACATTAAAGCATATCAACATATTCTCTTACACCAAATACACAAAATAATGATCTTTAAAAAAGCATCATATGACCCCTTTAAACTGTCCTCGTGCACACTTATTAGGGGATGAACAATTCATAAACACTGCTATTATGGGGAGAGTGTTAAGATCTTGGCCTTGGAGAATTCTTTTCCAGATCTTGATGAATTATGACCAGACTGCCCACTAAGTATCAGGTTGGTGTTGTTCTGTGCATTGACCCAGAATGTTGTAGTGAGTAAAGCTGCAAAAAACTGCTTGGTTCACTTTCTTCTGCCATTTTTCACTGCTGAGGAATTTTTGTTTTGTTTTTTTGTTTTTTGTTTTTATTATCTAGACCAGTGTTTCTCAACCAGTGGGTCGCGACTAAAAAAGAGGGTGTGATAAGATTGTGAACATCAAAAGCAATAAATCATGGCAAACCGTATAATTGTGCGCAAGTTAAATATGCTTACCACTGATCCTGGTATGAAAAAATGTAGACCATTTCAACTTAGAAAAAAGTGAGCAAAGAAAAACCTTTCAAAGTTATTAGGCATTTTGGACAGAATGAACTTGGTCATTGTAAAACTGTGTCAAGGGTCCTTTAACCTTTTAAAGACCCTCAAACTTTTTTCATCAGAGAATCAATTGGCAGAAAAAAATCTGCCAACCTCTTATTTGAAGGGTTTTGAAATTTAATGGATAAAATTTAATTCACTTTGAAGTAGCCTGAATGAGTATTACTGATTAAATGGAGCCCCCCAACAAATAAATATATAGAATGTACTTAAGCACACAAAAAATTATGGCCATATTTCATTTCTGCACACTTTTTGTCTTAGTTTTGAAAAATATGTCTGGTTTTATCATTTACAAACTAACCTTTATTTATTTCATTTATTTAGCTAGACATGTGGTATTTAACACTTGGTTTGATAATTTGTTGTAATACAGTGGTGTGCATACATTATGTGGCTTAAGTGTCCTTATACATATTAGTGTGATGATAATCAACAGCAACAGCATGAGCAGCAATCTGGATCAGTGTCCCTTAGAGGTCTAAACAAAAGCAGCATGCCTTGCCTTTATTGGTTTAGTGATTTGTCTTAATTATGGCACACCAGAAAGCTTAACAAAGCCGTATTGAAGAAAGGCACAATGTTTTATTGAGGCAATTTTACAGAGGCAAACTGGAATGAAGGCCTTGAGCTCTGGGCAGCTACAATAATAGTGCAAGTCTGTGTCAGGCAGCTGGAGACACAAAGAGAGCTTTTACCTTTCCCTTCTTCTTGCCTTTCCTCCCTTGTCCCCTGCAGCTCTGCATCAACAGGGCATGTAAGGTTAATCAGTCATCAAGTAAACCCAAATGGACTCCAGGCCCTTCACTTTACTCTAACACACACATTTGAGACCGGCATTTATCAGGGCAAGTATAGAAAATGTCCGCCCGGGTGTCCCTCTCTTCTGGAAGTTTTATTAGAGCAGTGTGTGACAGATCACCTGCAATTTGTGATTTGCCTACAGTCGGGAAGCACTTGGGAAGTGCCACTCAAGGGGTCGTTTACAGAGCCACATGGCTCAGTCAGTTTCACTTTATACATATTTCTGTTCTTCCCCATGCAGAGATGGATTAATGGAAATGAAAAATCAACAATTCTGTCAACGATATTCACTA